GTTTATTTTAAGATGAGGAAACAAGTAGGCACTGTGGAAGAGTTTCCAAAGATGGTCACCACCAGTTCCTTCCTTCCCTTTTGGCACAAGCCAATTCTTCATCAAGAGAGAGCTTATTTCCCATTGCTTGAATAAAGCTGGCCCTGTGACTGCTTTCACCAATAGAGTATGACAGGAGAGATGTTCTGGATTTCTTATTCTAATCTTAAGACAACCAGAAACTTCCGTTTCCTTCCTTTTGCAATGCGCCTTCTTGGAAACCAACCAACATATAGCAAGGGAGCTTAAGCAGCTAAGTGCAGTGGCCAGACAGGAAAACCAGAATAGTGAGAAGGGCATCATGGAAGTTCACCAAGGGTAGAGGCAATGTAGAGAAAGAAAGACGGTTCATATCCAGAGTCATGGTCTATCCCATCAAAATAGATCACTGTTTTAATGGAAATGGTCTGCGTAATCATCTGGACACCTGGTAGTTGGCTGGGCTGGTTATCCACAGACTCATGCCCTGATCAAGGGTCCAATGTCCATCTCTGCTATAGGCATTTGGGCATTAGCAGTGGAGTTGGAGAATGCCTGGTTTACCCTTGTGGTGCTCCACCCAGCATTGCTTCTGACCAGGACTCATTTTAAATATCATAGAATTCATTAATTTTGTCATATGGTCCATCACCCTGAAGTAGCTGGCCTGGTATAATAGTGGGATAATCTTTGGAAGACTCAATTACAGAAGCTACTGGGTGACAGCACCTTCCAGGGCTGGGATAATGTTCTCTTGAATGTGACACATGTTCTGAATTGCAGCCAAGATAGAAGGCTGCTTTTTCCCAGTTCCAAGGATTAAGGGATAGATAGAAAAAGAAATGACAATCTCAATATTATCCCTAATGGTATACTAGTGATTCTTTGTCCCTTCCCATCCCAATAGCTTTGAACTCTGCTGTTGTTGAGATCTTGGTTCACAAAGAAAAAAGGTTTCCACCAGGGGAGAAAATCATGGTTCCTTTGAACTGAAAGTTGACACTACTCTCTGGACATTTTCAATCGATGGATCATGGAGAGGCTTACTGTGCTGGCTCAGCATAGGTGGGACATTCTGGGAAGGAAGATTCTTTGTTGTGGGACAGTTAGGCACATTTAGATTCTTGGTTCCTGGTCACTGAGTGTTACTAGACTCTTCTCGTCATTGGCCTAGCCCCCAAACATATCCCTCCAACTCTCAAAATGCCACTTAGACACCACAGGGAATTGTCTTTGGTTGAAAATCACTTTTTATTAATGTATCATCTTTAAGTGACAGTTTTCATTTTTATAAAATAATACCATTTATAAAATATTTTCTATTGAGCCAAATAACAAAGTAGAGACAAGGTTTCTTTCTTTTCTTATAATTGCTCTATTTTCTGGTAGGGGGTTTTGGTTTAAATCATTTTAGGCATTTAAACTATGATCAGAGTGAGGCCCATAGCTTTAAAGATGGCTAGATTGGCAATCTCTAAATTGTGGATTCCGCAGCATCAGAGCTCTCTTAATAAAGAGCAAGTTGCAACAGCACATGTTTTTTATCTTGTTAGAACTATTTTTATTAGAGAAAACACTGCTATACAGTAGGATGTATTGCACCGGCCTCTGCATCGCAAGCTCAGGTCCTAAATTAAACTTAATTTGTGCCAATGGGGATTGCATCAGCTGGCTACACACACATGCACACACACACACACATACACACCCACACACAACTCTGGTGATTCTTACTCTCTGTCTTGTTTTTCATCATACTGTTTATTGTAGCAACCAACTGCAAAATACTTTTAGAGGATTTGTTCTGGATGTGGGTAATGCTTTTTCTTGAAAGTTCCTTTCAGCTTCACATATTTTCTGGAGAGTCACCAGCCTTCTTACCTTGGCCTGTGGCTGCCTGCCACCTGAGGTAGCTCCTGTTCACAACTCTGAGGCTGGTTAAGTCTGTTATCTGGGGGTTAAGTTACTTATCTTGGGGTTGACTGCCTTAATTCAGAGACAAAAAGGCCAACCCAAAGAATTAACTGTTTAAGGAAGTATCCAAAGAACTTAGAAGTTCTTCCCAGTGTTAATGTTCAGTGTTTCTAGATTTGATTTCTATCCTTCTCACTTTTTTCAGTACAAATCTATCAGAGTGACACTTTCCCCAGTGTTCTCCAACTATGTCATAGGCCCCAAGGAGAGAGAGCCTGGCTCCAGGCACAACTTGGCCCACTGCCCTGGAAGCTTTCCTCCTCCATCCTACCTCCTATTCTCCAAGGAGCCTGGTTTCTAAGTATAAATCTTTCTGCAACTATCTATGGCTACCATCAGGTGGATCTTAGATTTGTCATCTACTCTAATTCTTTGTTGAGCAGATAATTGAAGGCAGAGAAGACAGAGATTTGCCCAAGGTCACAGAACCCTGGCAGAGCAGGAGTATGAATTTTTATCTCCTGACTCCTGGTTCAGTGTTTTTTCCACTATGCAGGGTGCTTGGCCTCAGATGATGATGATTTCACAGGGCTGGTGTGCATCTGTAGAGATGACTTTCTGTACCATATTTTTTGGACAAGATTTTAAGCTAAACTTCTCTTTTAGTTCTAAAATATCTACCTGGAGCATCAGGGTCTATGGACGCTATTGCATCATGAAATCCAGAAGTGTGCAGCATCCTCAGTGGTAGCAGGGAGCCGGGAAGGTAGAATTCTACTCTTGCCTCTTATAGGGGACTATCGCCAAGAGGCCTAGTGAACCTTTTGCTGAAACGATATGGATTCTTAGAGTCCAGAATGTCCATATTCAGTGAAAATAAGGCAGGGATATATATTTAATTAGCAATTGTTATGTTCTAGATGTCATGCTGGACAACATAATATTTAAAGCTGAGGCTTTGGAGATAGTCATATAGGTTCAAGTCCCAGTTCAACTAATTATTAGCTACTGAATCTTGGGCAACCTCTCTGCTTTTGCTTACCTACCTATAAAATGGAGCTGCTGCTGCTATTTCTTACCATAGGTAAGGAATAATTTTTTGGGGGTTGGGGTCATAGGTCAGTAGTAGAGCACTAGCCTAGCATGTGTGAAGTACTAGGTTCAATTCTCAGCACTGTATATAAATAAGTTAATTAATTCAATAAAGGTCCATTGACAACTAAAAAAAGAAAAATATTTTACCTAAATAAAGGCTGTTATTAAGGAGAAATATATTAATATATATATAAAGCACTTAGGACAATGGCTGGTACCTAGTAAGTACTATATAGTGATTACTGTTACTATGCAAATTAAAAAGATATCTACATATAACATCCACACATATTTTACCAAAATGAAAAGATGCACATTAAGTGTATCAGAATGGATACTTATGAAGACATAAGGTAATTAAAAACCCCCCAAAAACCCCAAAAATAACAACAACAAAAAAAACCTCAGTAAGCGATGCAAGATCTGTACATTGCGTCCTCATTATCTTATTGCTAAGATAAATCAATGCAGATTAAAATAATATAAATCAAGGTAACAAGGGTTCATGCAGAGGCATTGGAGCACTTGGAAGGTGGTCTTTGGTCTCTCTCCTCAGAGGGGAGATTGGATTTTTAGGCTATTCTTTTTTTTTTAAACCCCCAAACTTCAGAATCTGCAGGCTGTCCATAATTCACACTGTTTGGAGATCCTGCTCAGATTCTGCTAGCTACACCAAACTTTTGAAGAATGGAGTTGAGGCATGTTTTCTGATTGCATGAAGCATTGTCTCTGGTGCTTGGAATCTAGGTTCATGAACTTCTTGATCAAACTATACAGATACATGGTTCACTTGTAAGGGACTGACATAAGACTTTAATGCCTCAAAATACTAGATTGGCTAAATAAATTGTGCCTATCCATACAACAGAATGTAGGCACCCTACATGATACTGCTTTGGAATAATATTAATTACCTGGAAAAATATTCATGATATATTATTATTTAATATGTCACAATGTGTATGTAGATTTTATATATACACATACATACATGTGTGGAAAAATTGCATCATATTAATTATAATCATTTTGGCTGGAGTATGATGGAAGAGTCTTACCTTTGTTTAATATTATCTATTTTTATAATTTTTCTATAATAACTCCATATGAATTTTTAAGGAAAAATAATTTATTAAAAAGTAGCAGTTACCTATAATAAAGGCAGTTTTTCTGTGTGTGTAATGCCCCTCTAAAATCACCCTGGAAATCATCTTGTCTACTCCTCCCTGGCTGATGCAATGGCTTCTACCTTAGTGCACAGATGGCTGCTCTTTTGCGTGGCCCTGACAGCAGGAATCCCATCACATTATGGTTATTGGGTATATACTCGGGAACAAGCATCTGGCATAAGAGCTGGTACATAAGTATATGTGAACTAAATAAATGAATGAATCGATATGGGGTCTACATCTTTGATTTCAATAGAAGCTCTATTTATGGGCCAGATGAGCCCCAGGCTGCTGATCTGTACAATGTTAATAGTCACTGTGGTTTAAGAGATCTCCAATTATGTTTTTTTAAATGGCAGTGTATCAGTCATGGGATGGGTAAGTGTGCAGAGAAAAAGTTTATTATTATTGCTCTACCTACTAGCAGTCTACATCTTCCCACATCTTATTTCTCCTTGACTCCCTAAGGTATCATGGTTACCATAGCAGCCAGATACTGATGATGCCTCCAGGAGCAACAACGTGAAACTGAGCCACCTCTCAAGTCCTCACTTCTCCATGCCCTTTGCAGGCCAAGGTAAGAATGGTCTGAAGCTCAGAGCCTCGTCAGGCCCCTGTGCTGTCTTGGATCACTGAGACCTGCAAATCCTGCCTCTGCAGTCTCAGTTTGGGCCCTGAAACACCTCTTTGGAGACTCCCTCCTCTCCAAGCTCTGTCTCTTGGCGCCCTGCCTGGTTGCCTTGGAAACAGGTTCCTCTGCGGACAAAGGAGGGAGCTGGGTCCTGCTTCCTTCTGGTCCTGTCGATGAGGATTTTTAGACCGTGGAGACTGCGCTGCCCTGCCCTGCACTTGCCCTCATTCTCCACATTCTCACTAAAGTGGAGCTTGCCCTCCCTTAACACTGACGAGGATATGTGTAAAAGTGTGACCACAGGTGAGTGGAAGAAAGTCTTCTATGAGAAGATGGAGGAAGCTAAGCCAGCTGACAGCTGGGACCTCATCATTGACCCCAACCTCAAGCATAATGTGCTGGCCCCTGGCTGGAAGCAGTACCTGGAACTGCACGCCTCAGGCAGGTGAGTAGCTCAGAAAGTAGGGGCCACGTAGGCAGTCCCCAAGTCCCTAGCCCTGGGGTACCTTGCAAGGAAAGATAAGGATTTGCAGAACCCAAGTGCTTAGCTTCAATCTCACTGTTAGACTAGTGTAGATTGGGAAGCAGAGTGAGTCCCCCAAAGGGAGCTTGGATGCCTGGCTTTGATTCCAGGTCTTCTACTGATCCATCTCCTGCGTAATTTTTTTTTTTCTCACAGTTTCCTCATCCAGAGAATCAAGAGGTAGGATAGATTATTAGTCCTAAACTCTGACATCCTTGCACATTTTCAGATTTTAATATTTAAAAACAAATAGTTGAAAACTGAGAGATGGGAGGCTTGAGGTCCATGGTGTGGTTTGTGCTTTGCTCCTGGGCCAGTTCAATTTTAATCTATTTAACTCAGCTTGGTTTGATTTAAAATATCAACAACATGGTGTTCTAGAAGTAGCTCTACTATTGATTCCATGGCTCTTGAGCAATTCAATATTTTTCTTGGACTTCATTTGCAAAATGAAGGGTTAGTTCTAGTTCTTTGCTTTGTGGTCCAGGGAGCATCATCTAGAACTTGCTAGAGATGCAGAATCTTGGGCTCCATTCTAGACCTGAATCAGGATCTGCATTTTAATAAGATTCCCTAAGTGCTTTGTATATGCAATAATATCTGAGACAACCTTCTACTACTCTTGTCTGTGGGTCTTGTCCATAGGGTCAAGACTTACCTCTGGGACATAAGATGGGGAGGTTGAGTGGTTCAGCTTGGAGTGTGAAGCAAGGCTTCCTGCTTTGCTTGGTCCATTCAATTCAATTCAAGAAGCATTACTGGGCAATGGCTCAGCGCCCCACTGGCTGTATGTACATGAATGGCTCTCTTAGGTTCTGTATCTCAGAGAAAAATGAAGAATTATTTGGGAGATTTCTGAGATTTTGGACATTTTAAAATTCAAGTTTAGTAGTCTGTGATGAGAGGAAAAAATAGTCCCAAAATGATATGAGTAAATAAGAAGAAATGAACATGAAAACATCAATCTCCCAAATCAACAGATGGGAAGGATGCCACTTGCCTGAAGGACTCAGAAGCTTCTTGAAGACATGAAAGACTTGGGGGACTGAGTAGGGAGGGTTTATGGCTTTCCCAGCCCTGGCCTGTGACCTGTGATCCCCAGCTGGACCCAGTTAGCCTGGGAAATTATAGACCTCTGGGCGCAGACTGCCTCTACTTCTAGGTCTTGGCATGCATTAACTCTGGCACTGACTTGGAGACTGATAGGTGATAATGTGATTTTTTTCCCCTGATTTTGGACCTCAGACAGCATTGACACAGGAATGTGCAGATAGATTGTGCATTTCCTATCTGATGAGGGCTGTACCTATGGTATCAGACTACTAGGCAGTTTGGGCAGGAAGGACTCACCTAGTGCACTCATTTTACAGATGAGAAATGATGCCCAGAGAGAAAGATCTGGGAGCAAGTCCTGAAGAAACTGGGATGGAGGGGGCAGAGGCTTCTGTAAAGCACCCAGGAGACACAGCACAGTGGGATGCCACTCCCAAGGAACCTGTTCTAGCCCCAGGGGTGCTAACAATGGGGCCGGCTGGGCAGCCTCTTGGGGAACCCAAGGGGCTGATAAACCCAAGGGGCTGTCAACACACCGCCCCCACCTCCAGGTCCTGCTGACCCTCTACGTCCCTTCACCCACTTCTTGGGCCTGTTTCTTCTGCCTCCACACAGTACGGTCTTCTTTTCCTTTCCCCTCTCTGCAGGTTCCACTGCTCCTGGTGCTGGCACACCTGGCAATCGCCCCACGTGGTTATCCTCTTCCACATGTACCTGGACAGAGCCCAGCGCGCAGGCTCGGTGCGCATGCGGGTCTTCAAGCAGCTGTGCTACGAGTGTGGCACCGCGCGACTGGACGAGTCCAGCATGCTGGAGGAGAACATCGAGAGCCTGGTGGACAACCTCATCACCAGTCTGCGCGAGCAGTGCTACGGGGAGCGCGGCGGCCAGTACCGCATCCACGTGGCCAGCCGCCAGGACCACCGACGACACCGGGGAGAGTTCTGCGAGGCCTGCCAGGAGGGCATCGTGCACTGGAAGCCCAGCGAGAAGCTGCTGGAGGAGGAGGCGACCACCTACACCTTCTCCAGGGCGCCCAGTCCCACCAAGCCTCAGGCTGAGGAGGGCTCGGGCTGCAACTTCTGCTCTATTCCCTGGTGCTTGTTTTGGGCCACCGTTCTCCTGTTGATCATCTACCTACAGTTCTCCTTCGGCAGTTCTTTTTAAGCCCTCCTCGGTGGGCCAGAGGCTTGGGGTGGGGTCTGCTGGCTGGTGGGAGCGGGCAAGAAGAGGCCTAGCCTGGGAATGGGATCAAGTTCTAGCTCTAATGCTGTCCTTGTCTCAGTGGGGACTCTGGACAGTTTACCCATGTTCCCCATCTGGGATAGATCGGCGGTGTTTCAAAGGAAGATCAAGTATCCCAAAATTCTGTGCAGGTGCCTTAGGGACTTTTGGATTTGGAAGGTAGACTGAGTGGGTGGGTTTCCTACTCCTGCTCCAACAACCCACCCCCAATTCTTACTTTCTCCTCTTGTTTCTATCAGAACAGCTGCATCTTAGGTGGAATTCTACTTTAGTTATTTGTATGAAAAAAGGTTAACTGCCTTAAAAATGTTTGAAAATTCCAGGACTAGGTGATATCAAAAGGCCTTTCCACAACAATGAGTTTGACCTGGCTCTCTTGTTAGGTTTCCACTCCTGTTCCTCATTATCTCCATATCCTCTAGATGCAGGCTTAAATTCACCTCTGCCTATTACAGAAGCCTCACCCACAGCTCTGCCTCATGCACACAGCAGAGGTTTCCCTCTAAGGAAGAGAGGTTGAGGGCATTAGGCTGCTGCTTTGCTGCTGGGTCCACAGGGTTCCTTGACTCTGTTTCCCACCTTCCAGCTTCTCTCCACTCGGAAGGATCCTGGAGCCTGACTGGCTGAAAGATGGTGGTGGGGTAGAGTCCCATAGAGCAACGCTTCCCACTTGGTACGAATGAACTGGCACAGAATTTTGGGGGAGGTTTAGAAGATAGCATTTTAGAAGCAAAGCACAAAATCTCTAGGAAACACATATAACGGATTTTCCATTTAATGAAGGGTTTTCAAAGTTCAGATTCTTAGCAGTGCTGATAGCCAGAACACTGGAGTTGAAGCCTGGTCTCTTTTTTTTTTTTTTTTTTTTTTTTGCTGCAACTATAGTTGAGTAGCTTCCCCACATCAGCTATACATGGGCCATCTTGTCAAAGATTGGCTGCCTACCCACACCATGGGGATGGAGTGTCCTCAACAAGAGGAGGGGACACTAAGGATGCCAAGTGATTTGTCCATAGAGAAGTACCTAGGATCTCACATTCCTTTAAAATAGGATGTAATATTGTTTGGAGTGGCAGGAGAGGAGACTGGCAGTAGGGGTTGGGATGGGGGAGAGGCAGAGGGCAGGAGATGGGATACCACCCTGGATGTTGAAGAGCCCTTATTCATCCACCTCTGTTAATAACCTGACTCCCTGTCCTCCTTCCCCTACAACTTTCCTCTTTAATAACAAGTCACTATCATCTGTTGTGGTGAAGAGAAAAGGGCCATTTACATAAAGATGGGATACTTAAATAAAGACAGAATGTCTTCAGTTGGGCTTAGAGGTCATTAATGCATGTTTGAATTCTCCATACTGTTCCTGATATACTGGGCCATTGGTTTTCTGCATCCTTCCCCATAACCTTTCCCTCTCCCCTTTCTGGGACCCCCGTGTGAGGTTGCAACTAGCTCCAACTCTGGGCCAATTCAGTCCATAGTTAAGATGGGATGCTGGAAATCAGTTTGATTCTTGCTCTGATTTCAGTAACTAGCTGTGATTTTCTTCACTTCATTCTCAAAGTATTCATTTCTTTACCCAGTTCACATATCCTGAGCATCTACTCTGCAGCAAGTCCTGATTTAGGAGCTAGATACAGAGGGCACTTAGTGGGCAGGCCCTGTCTCTCAGAGGGCTCTGCCTTCCACAGAGGTTCTCAGCCCCGGCTTCACTTGAGAAATCTTGGGAATTTTTAAAGAAACATCATTGCTCCGCCTCTACTCTGGACCACTGGAATCAGAATTTCTAGGAGGGGGCCCTAAGCATCCGAATAATAATAGAACTCCCAGGTGATCTACCTGTGCTTCCTGGTATAATACTTTCCAATTGAGAAATATGCTTTCATTTGCATTTAGTTTTATAAAAATTATGCCTTGATATTCTTCTTGATGATCTTCCCTGAACTTTCTAGGACTAGGACTCAGCTTCCCTACTCACTCTCCACCCTGTGCGGGATTCCCCCTCTGCTCTTGCAGATGTGTTGCTGCAGTGACTTAATCCTCCTGAGAGTTTCCCCTACTGAGTTCTTTCACCTTTATTGGGACACATCAAGAGTTATGGTTATTACTCATCTATGGCTGTATTCCCTTCTAGAATGTAAGCTCTAAGAAGCACAGATTTCATGCATTTTATTCACCTATATTGAGCACATAACAAGTACACAATAAATTGTTTTGAACAACTAAATGAACAAATGAGCTAGGTCATACTCAATCAGATCCTTATCTCCCTAGCACATCTTTTTTATAACAATATTTGGAGTCTCCTTATCTCTTCACCTCTTATTTTTCCTAGATTCTATATTCATATATCCCAAATAAACTATTTAAATCAAAGCATTTGGAAGAAGACAGTTTGTTTTGATTTTTTCCCAGAAGGTGTCATGGGCTTGTATATGAGGCTCTGAACCCTGAAAGCACAGGGAGCTATATGGGTCCTGGTTTAATTTTAGATAGATTTCCCTGGGACTTTCAGCTGATCATCATTCTCTCTGGATATCAGGTACTGTCTTAGGGTTTGGAACATCTCAAGGTCTTTCTTTGTACCATCCTGTTCCAACCCATATAAAGCATTGTTTTTACATCCTCTCTGATGACAGGTTATGCAGGCTTTTTTTGAGCACCCTCAGGGTCAGGGAGATCATTACCACCCAAGACAGCTCAGGCCACTGTTGGATAGATCGACCTTTTAAAGAAGGCTTTTTCCTTTTAGGCCTCTCTCTGAAGGATTTGTCTTTTTTCATCTGCCAGGTTGAGCTCTTACAAGCAGGATCCCACGGGGGGAGTGTTCTTCCCGTATCCTCAACACTGTCATCCTTTAATCCAAAGTCAGTTCCTGCCATTCTGCTGCTCTCTTTGCTGTTCTGCAAAATCCAGGTCCCTCGAGGCCAGATAGGATGTGGCTCCAGCCATCTTAGTGACACTTTTCAGCATGCTTCCCCCGCTACCCTGGCTCCCTTGCTGTTCCCCAACATAGCAGGCATGCTCCTGCCCAGGGCCCTATTTGACCCTCTATTTGGCCCTCTTTGTCTTGAGTGGTTTTTACTGGACCTACTCTCTGACCTCCCTCAAACCTTTGCTCAGTTCTCATCCTCTCAGCCAGGCTACTCTGCCACACTGTTTTATGCTGTACCCTGAGTCCCCATCCACCTCCAGGCTCCTGATCCCCTGGCCTTTGCCTTGGGCTGGGTTCCCAGGAAGCAGAAGCAGAAGTACTTTCTGGAGGCCTGTGAACTCAGGACCTCAGGACCTCAGGAAGGAGGCCGAGCAGCTGAGAAAGCCAATAGAAGTCTTAAGTTGGCTGCCTCAGCTGGTGACTGGCAGTTGGGTCCCACCGAACCGTCTGAGACGCCAGGGAAACGTGTTTCAGGGTGGTGGGGGTGGGGTGGTTCTCTTCTCTGGTTCTTTCACCCCTGTAGTTGAGGGTTTGCCCCTGTAAGACTCATGACTGGGCCATGAGTTGCCTTAACTAAGTAGATAAATTCTGAATGGGGTCTGAAAACAAGGTTTGTGTCCTTGCTCTGACTTTCTCAGGGAAAAGAAAAAGCTTCCCCGCTTCAGTTCTATTCTCTTTGTATTTCTTTGTGGGGGCCCAGCACCCTGACCTCTCCCTGTGGATGGTAGTCTGGAGGGTTTTAAGGAGCTGGCTCCTCTCCCCAGCTCCCAACCAAGGACACATGGCCCAAGAGAGGCAACTGGAATTTCAATGAGGAGCAAAGTGATAAAAACCCTGAGAACAGATGGAGCATATTAATTCCAGTGGTGGCCCCCTGGCTCGGCTGTAAAACACTTCCTGCTATTCACATTCCCAGCAGGGTCAAATTTTTCCTTTACTGAGTCTTATTCTCCAATATATATTAATATGTTAATACTAATTCATTCAGCGAATCCGCCCATACTTTCCTAGTACATTCCCTTTCATGCTTAGATTAGATGGTGTTTGTGTGTTTCAGCCTATCCAGATGGGTCCACCAGGCTGTTCCCCTCTGGACACAGTCCATGTGGTCAGTTCAGACGATGGACCCCAGACCTGTGCCCATCTGCCCTCTCCCTCAGTTTTCAACTTCCCTTTCCTCCCTCCACCCCACGTTCTCCTCCAGATCCTGCCTTTCCTCCTTCCTTTCAAAACCAAGTATTTCAAACACTGTCCACATCCTCTGTCTCCACATTGTCACCTCCCATTGATGCTACAGGCTGATTCCCACCCCCATGACTTTACAGAAACTGACCCCACTCAGGTTACCAGCAGGCTATGGCTGCATATAATGTACTTTTCTTTCTTACTTTCTTTCTTTCAGTGCCGAGGATGGCTCCCAGGGCCTATTGCATGCTGGGCAAGCGCTCTCCTGCTGGGCTGCATCCCCAACCTCAATATATACTTGTAAACCTTGTTTTCTTCTTGACCTCTCAAAGGACAACAATATTGACCAACTGCAAACACTGTGTGCTTGGTTCCAGGGACACCCTGCTCCCGATGTGCCTTGGTCTTCTGGCTCCCTCTCAATCTTCTTTATAGATTTCACGGCCCCAGCCTGACTCCTGCCTGCTGCTATCTTTAGGGTCCTATCATGTGCCTTCTGTTTGCTCCTCTAGTTTGTCCATGTGATCTCATCTAGTCTGGGGGTTTATTCATTACGTATATGCTGATGATGACTGAAATCTCTGCCTTGAGGCCTGAACTTTCCTGGGCTTCTGGCCCTGTGGTCTTCCTTCTTACTTAACATCTCCATTTTTTGGAGACTGTTTCAGAGTCCCCATGTCCAAATGGATTGCAAAATTTGTTTTCCTCTCTGGTGGTCCATAAAATGTATCTGTGTGTGTGTGTGTGTGTGTGTGTGTGTGGTGTTGGGGATTGAACCCAGGACCTTGTGCATGTGAGGCAAGCA